AGAATCCTGCCTTTAAACCTTACGTATTCAGGAACAAAATCAAGTCAAACTTTTGTAAAGTTTTAATATGTGCTAGTAGGTTTCTGTTGCCTCTGCATTTTCCTTCAGGATTTTTTTTGCTAGATCTCCAGAAAGATTTGTCAGGCCTGGGGGGAATAATTGCTACAGATCTGTCCTTTATCTTAGATTATCTGTGCTCTGTTCTCAAAACGAGTACTCTATGATGAAAAGGAAGTCAGGTCAAAAGGAGGTACATTGTGTAGGACAGTTTGTCCCACCTATGAAAATAAGTATTTTTAGCTTTTCCAGTACTGATTTGAGGAGGTGGTCTGTGACTTGTGTCTACAGAGCAGCGTGTGGTTTATGAGTCTTCCAACAATCTTTTAAGCTGCCCTGAACAATAGAAGATTGAAAAAGTTCAAAGAAAGGCCTCCAGAGAGCATGAAGTGTGGTGTCTCTAATGCACTATAAGCTGTTTAGAATTGTTACTTGTAGGTAGTGAAGTCTTGAGAAACAGAATCACATCACTTGTAGGTGTGGGAGGATTTGCAGTATTCTTTTTTTTTTTTTTTTTCTACAAGATGGGTTTAAAAGGTGAGGTAGCACAGTATTTATTGAAGTCTTCCTGTATTCTGCTCTCCAGTATATTTTGCAACCATGTATTGAATATTACATTTCTGTGCACAGCAGCTGCAGGTAACGTTCATCTTTGTATTTATAAGTGACAAACTTTGAATTCTGTGGAACACAGTAGGTTACTTTAGCCCTCAACCTAATATTGGTATTTTTTCCTAACTACAGAGAAACTCATTTCCCCTACTTTGCTAGCAGAGAACTGACTCTTTGCTTCTCTCTCACTTTGCATGTCGCATGAGCATAGCCACGGGTCCATCCCGATTTCTGTGCGACTGTACATCAGACAGGGATGGCTGGAGAGTTTACATTCCCACTGTATCTCTGGAGCCCTTTTCTGCTGTTTTAGAGAAGGAAAATAAGGTGACTGCTTTATACTTGTCTGGAGAAAAAAATCTAGCCTAGTTTTTAGGATTTGAATTTGTTTTGGGTCCAATTCCCTACTATCCCTGACACATATTTCCTCTGTGAATTTGATTAATCTTTTAATTTTTCTGTGCATTTTTGCCCCTCTGTGAAATTGGATAACAGCATGTCTGGTACTGGGTAGGCAGAGTACAGGAGGAAGTTGTCAAATTATTGGATTTGTTGTCAGCAAAGGTGGATGAAAGAGAGTGTCTAGAAGAGATTTTTGGGGTGTTTTTTTCACTCTTTTTGATCCTATGGAAATTTCACATGTTACTAATATGAAATAACATTTTTTTTCCTTTTCTTAAGATAACAATAATCTTAAGAAGAAAAAAGGATTATATTTCTATCATTTCTTAGCTATTTAAGGATATATATTCCCTTCTAGAACCAGTGAGTTGCCTTGGAGCAAAAATCATCTTTTATCCTACTATTGTTTAAAAATTCAACAATGCAATATGTTAATTTGTTACTATGACACCCAGGCAATGCAAAGGAAGTCAAGAAAGAGACCACTTGGAAACCATTTGGAAAGAATTAGTATCATGGGGATATTTTTAGCCTTTGGATATATGTTAAGAGGAAACTTAGTACTCTCTTATTCTTCTCGGTATTGCATGAATTGTCATCCTAAGCATTGCTAAATATATTGCTTTACCATTGTTTTCAAACTGGTCAAGGACTTGTTGCAGCAAACATTGCCCAAATTTATTTCTTCAGATTAAAACCTTAAATGAACTATTGGTGAAAATATTTGAATCACGCTTTCCTAGAAATGCATTGCATATTTGAAGAAGTCTTTCCTGCTCTCTTTTTTTCTCTTTTTTTCCTTTTTTTTTTTTTTTCCTTTGTCCAGCTGCTGATAACATTGAATTAGTATTAATATAAGGGCATTCTTGCATAGTAATTGCACTATGAATGAATATTTGGTATTTGTTAAATAGTGGCATGGGAAAACACAAAGAAAGGTTAATAGGGTAGCTTTTTCTATTCATCATAGCTGACTCATATTTTTTGTACCAATTAAATTGTTTGGTATTTTACTTATTTCATACAATAAATTATTCCATTTATTTAATACTCTACAGTGTAGAATTAACTATTCTAGACTATTTCAAACTAGACTATTTTGTAAGAAGAATAGTTGTGCCTGATAAAGGAAGTCTTGGATAACTGATATCATACCTGGTTTATGTTTAAACTCAAAACCAACATAAATTCTTGAGGAACTAATGATGTATGAGATAGGTCATATAATAGAAATTATTACAGTCTTCAAATTACTTATTAATGGTATTGCAACTTATTTCAGCTTTTGGGTGTTTGTCAGGAGCTACAAAAATGTTTCAGTTTACTTCTGTGTTTTGTATAACATTAGTTCTACATAATTGTTGGGTTTTTCAAATCATTCTCATTTAATCACTGAAATACTGTATCACATCAGCAAGCTTTAATAAAAATGCTTATATGTGTTTAATGACGGTGGTTTTGAAGTTACTGCTTTTATGAGGTGTATACCTCATTTTTCGCTTCCCTTTAGAGGAGTAATAATTCATGAAAATAGAGACAGTCTTGTATATGCAAAGAGCATGTTATGGAGACATTTTACTTGCCATTAAGTTCAATCATTTCAAGGGTGTTGCCATTTTATCTGATAGCCCAAAAATGTTTACAATGTTTTAAAGCCACTTTAAGCTACTGTAGGCAAAGATAGAGAAATATTTATTGTGGTGGTTCACATTTATTTTTTTTAATCATATTTTGAAGTGGAAAGTGACATCAGCATTCAGTAAAATCTCAGCTCAGGTGCTGAGATTGTGGCCATTGCAGCTGGTGCTCAGTGGTAGTCATTGCACTTGGACCTTGCACCAGTTGGGAGAGTCCAGAGCAAGGAGGAGAGGATGATCTAAAGTCTGAAGAACATGACTTGTGAGGGGAAAATAGGAACATTAATGTCTCACTGTGCACGTGAACAAAGTGTGAAGTAACAGATGAAATAGAAGCAAGGGAGGTTTTGTGTAAGCAAAAAAAGGACTAACAGTGCATTGGAAGAAATAGTGGAGAAGATCTGGAGAGTGGGAAAGAACTGAGTGATGTGGTTCATTCTAGTCTTATTTTCTATAATTCAGTAGGTTAGAGATGCCTCTGTTGTAAGTGTCCCTCTCAGTGTAACTTTTGTGAGATCTGCTCCTGGGACGTTTGCCAGGGATCACACATTTACATGGCAGAGAACAAGGTAGAGTTGTGGGGTAGTTGCTCCTGCTTCTCATGGGCAGCTTTTAGGTGACGTTGCCCTTATGACTGCTTTGTTCTGTGTAAGCTGCTAATGTCTGGTGAGGAGGTCCCTATCACTCAGGTCTCACTAAAAATGAAAAGTAGTCAGGAGAGAAACAAGATTTAGGTGGTGAGTTTGCTTCAGGTAGATTGAACATATTTACCTTGTTTGCCTACTGGTTTTGTGTCCAGATATACTGCAGAGAAGATGGGGTACATGGGTGACGCTAAAGGTGCGAGCAGGCAATTTTGATGTTTTATGGTACTGAGAAGCTCCTGTTATGCCGCTGTATTTGTGATCTTGCTAGATGTGCTGAAGTCCAGTTGTTTTGTTTACTTCATTTTTACTACTTTATATAGTCGTCCATTTCTGTGACACGTAGATAAGTCTATAAAAAACAACTAATAGCAATTACAGATTTTGAAATTGCAAGGCTTTTCTAATAATTTTTGTAAAAAGAAGTAATTTTCAAATAAATAAAACCTCTTTATTTATCTTAAATTCTGTTTTTTCTTCTTGATAAGAAAGATATGAATATAATAGATGTTTTGCAGATGAAATTGTTTTTGACTGAGAAATAACAAATATTTTTTTGATGTAAAGCTTCATTTTGAAAACGTAATAAATCTTTAGTAATTTTTATTGGATAATTTGTACCTGTTCAAATCATTGACATACCTCTGCAGTATTTAAGTTATCTTCTAATATTATAATATTTCTTTTTATTAATTTCTTGAGGGGTTGAAAAACTTGGGATTTAGAGAACATTATAAGAAATACCCTTCCAGAAATCTGCTGACAGTCTAAAAGCATCTTTTATATAAGCTAGTAGAATAGTAATTCAACCTAATAACTAGGAGAACAATGGCATTTTGCTATCTTTTTTAAAAATCATAAATGAATGAGAGAATATAATAAGATTAAAGAATACAGGCTTATGACATTAATGTGTGCTTTGTTCATTTATTTGACAAGTGTTTTTGTTCTAATTATATAAGTTCCAAATATACCAATGAAAGCATTAGTGAAAGTAGGTTTCATTACAGTTACTAGGTATTGAATAGTCAAAATGAAGAAAACCCACTTTCTTTTGGTCCAAATATGGCACTGCATAGTGTGAATGGATGAGGAGTTCTCTGACAATTCTATAACAGTCCTTAAAACAATATTATCTTTTCAGTTTAATTGAATCAATTACTTTTTTTAATGTATTTTTCTGGCTTGTTTACCAGAAAATCATTGCACTTTAAGTGGATGTCTAGTGTCTTCATAGTATTTTTTCCTCTTAATTATGACTGTTGAAGCTTTCAGGTAATTTTTTGGTGCACCATTATCGTTGTCTCAGATATGTTGTGTTCCGTGTGGCTTTGAGCGTTGATGAGGATATTGGTTCTTTCAGTAATAAGTTGTCATTTGCTGACATTATTTCTGACAAAATTAATTTTGAATAGTTTTTTTTGATGTGAAGGTGAGAGCTGTTTCCCTTGGAGAACAGGATAGCATGTTGTGTGTACAGTGGTTCTTCCAGTACATGTAAAACATCATGAAACTCCACTGTTCTGATGAGTCAAGAGACCATGGAACAGTTCGGTTTCACAGGAAAGAAAAAGAGCTGAAATACTGGCATCTGATCCATTAGAGCATCTTTTCTCCCTGTAATCTAACTCTTGCTATATTTGTTCAGCTAGGATTGTGTGTTAGCAGAGCTTCAGCATCTGTCCTCAATCTCAACTGCTGCTTGGTCCTTCTACCCATGTGCCGTGTTCTCTTGGCCTTCCTGCGAGGATCTCGGAAGGTAAGTACTGTCCTCAGAATGCAGCAGTTGAGAAGAGGGCCCTGGTCTCTGTTATGTCTAAAAAGAATAGGAAGAAATATGTTATATCCCTGTTTTCTATACAGTATGTGCCTGCATGGTGCAGGTATCGTTCAGCCTAGATTCACAACTCCTTTGAAGCCCAAATTCATGTCATTCAGCCTAGATTCATGACTCCTTTGAACACAATGCCTTGGCTGGCATTGTCTGGTTTGATTGGACTTGTTGTGAGGAAGATTCTTCAGTGCATTTTTTGAAGGACAGGGAGTTGCTGTGTAACTGCAACCAGACGAAATCTCCTCCTTCTTCCCCACTGTAATATAATTGATATCTTTGTCCTCTTTACCATTTCCTGGTAGAATTCAACAGAGCAAAAAGAACTTCATCTCTGCATGATTAGAAGTGTCCTACTAGCAGTGACAGAACTTTAAATAAAAATACCCAACCTAATATATTTCTTATCATGGGAGAAAAAAAAAATGTTCTGGTTTGTTTTCTGTACCGGTATCCAGTAAACAGTCATTTAGCTTGTTTGTGATTTGCCAGTTGCTTTTACAGAAATTAAGGTAATGCTTTTGAGGAACATCTGTGTTTTCTATATGGTTGCAAATTGAACCTATGAGTTCTCTTCATTATGTGACAGTATAAGATTTTATGCCTATAGATGCATGTATGTATGCAAATACACCTTTCCCTCTGATTCTGATCATTAACAAGTCAGTGATGCCTACAACAATTAGTGCTGGAATTCCTAAATTTTAAGGTCAGAAGGGACATTAATTTATGTGCTCTTGACATCTGTGATCCAACTGTAATTTCTTGACTAAGACATCAAAATTGGCTCATTGACATAATGATGTAGTTTTTAAATTTAGGTACTGTGCTTGTAAGAGTGTTAAACCTAGTAAAAGCTGAAGTTGCTATTAAATCACCTCAGCTGCTGTTAGTATCTTTTTTCTTTGCTTTGTTTTAGAAGAGAGATTTCTTGAATTCTTCTCTTATTAGGTTGCCAGCAGGAAAACCAGAAGGCTGCTAGATAAAAGTAAAACTTTCCATGTGACCTGTGGTGTTACAATATGCATCTTTTCAGGTGAGATCTTACTGTGCTGAGCAGGAGCTTGTGTGGGAAACACATTAAAGCAGTATTTTGTGTTTTTTCTTGTACAGTACATTTGGGGGTAGTCTTGTTCTGTGCTTCCCTGACTTAAATTGTGAATGTTTTCTTGGATGTATGTGGGTTTTTGCTTATTTTTCCTTTAAATGCATGGGCTTACCTTCTAATGTTGTGAACCTTTCCTTAAAAATCCAGTTTCTAAAAGGACAAGTATGTGAAATCAGGTAAAAATTTGCCATTATAAGTAACTCAAAGGTCACCTGAGGAATTTGAGTGAAGAAGCAGGGTGCTACAGGCTTATCTGCAGAAGAGAGTGCCATAGAGACAAATACCCATTTCACCGAAGAAGAAACATTCTTTGGACACCTTTGAATGTTGTCTCCCAGTTGAAGCATTGCAGTACAGAAGTGATAGCTGTACTGTTAAAAAAAAATATTAAAATACCTACAGCTTTCTACTATGAATATCTATAACCTGATTTACTTTAGAAAAATAATTCCTTAGTCCCCAGTTCATCTCCTATAGTTGATGTGATCATGGCCTGGCATCTGGGTAGCCAATTCTCTTTACTTCAAGGGAACATCTACCTCTTGTTTATGGATCTCAGCTTTACTCTGTTTTTTTTAGTCTTGCATGTTGCTGCTCATCTGGTGAACGCTCTCAACTTCTCTGAGAACTACAACGAAGAGTTTCTGTCACTAAATGCAGCGAACTATCGTGGTGAGGTGAGCCAGCTGTTCTAAACATGATTATTTGTATACCCAATTCCACTATGTGATCCCTCTTATGATCTATACAGTGCTGACGATTTTGTGCATTGAAAACTCATCACTTTAAGCCACCAGGATTTGGACCTATTGGATTGTGAGGTGGAGAATGCTGTCATCAAATCCTTTCACCTTGTGCCCTGTTCTGCTTCTCTACAACCTACTTTAACTTTTGGTCAGCCCTGAATTGTTCAGGCAGTTGGACTAGATGATTCCTGTAGGTTCCCTTCCAACTGAAGTAGTCTATTCTTCTCCTTCTCTCTGTTCTTTGTGTGGGCTTGATTGAGAAACTTCTGCTGCTGTTTTGGAAAAATACATTCTGCATTTGCAATATTTGTCATATAGTGCTATGAGACATATAGTGGGGATTTGAGGATAGTAAGATTTGAGAGTGATTTTTGCATTTTTAAAATGCAGTGGGAATTGTAATATATATGCTAAGAGTGGAATTAGTTATCTGCATGAACTGGTCTGGAAACTGATTTCTACTTATGAAATACTTTGTTTGCATGACTTTTCTGACTGCGGTGCAGATCTCTTGAAGGCATACCACAGCCCTAGTCCCTCTTCCAGGTGCTTGCTTGTGCATTTGGCACTGGAGAGATGTTTGCAGATTTTAGGAGTCAGACCAAAGTCCAGTACTTTCTTTGGGCTCCAATCAAGTTCTCTCTTGTTTATATGTATTATAGTCTCAAGTCTGCATTTCTTTTCTACCAGCTTCATTAGGAAAGATTTAGAGTGACCCTATCCCAGCTGCATCCTTTCCTGGAAAAGGAGAGCTTGACTCAGCCCAGGCTCATAAGGACCAACAGCAAAGGTCTTCCACTCCCTGGGTAAATGATCTAATCACCAAGCTATTCTATGGCAGACAGACATGCCAACACCAACTATTGTGCTGAGGTTCTGGATTCAACTCAAGTGTCTGCATGTGTTAGGAGTGGTCTAATAGACTTAGCCTCATCAGGAACACTAGCAGGAGCTTGCCTCGGGCAAGAACGTGCCAGGGTGTGCATGGCAGCTTGTACTAAGCAGCCTTTGGAATTTTGAAATAGAAAATGGAGATAATAACAAATTTTTAGTAACTCTAGGATCAAAACCTCCCAGATTTCAGGTACTGTAGTAGCTCTTAGACCTTTGTACTTGAATTCCACTTAAACCTGTTTTTTAACTGTGATGGGTAGTCTGGATGCTACTGTCATCTTCTGTACATGAGTGCACACATCTGGTTGCAGACAAGGTCAGGGAGAGGGATGCTTAATTTTTCCTGGCCTGTAGGAAAACTGCTCACCTCCCCTCACTGCATTTTACTGCAAGTTTGAAAAAAAGTTTTTCTCCACAGTGAAGACAAAACCTTATAGGGTATAGGACTCAGTGGAGGTGAGGCAGTTTCCTGTGAGGTTGACATCTCCTCTTCCTCTCGTGTGGTGAAGGAAACAAGAAATATCTTGCCTTGTATCATCAGCTCCTTTGTGTTCAGTCCTGCTTCACTAGAGTTCTCTGGAAATCTCCTGATGATGTAGCTGACAGTAAAATGCTCACTGCTCGTCTTTCATTTAAATTCAAAATCTCTATCTTTTCTGCTTCCTTCTGTCTTCCCAAAGGTATTGGGGAACTCAGTAAAGCTAAGCTTTCAATAAATAATTGTAGGTAAAATTATCTGGAAGCCAATTTCTCATAACAGATCAGAATTGTCTTCGTTGGGGGAATGCAAAGGCTAAAGGTTTAGTTTATGTTGAATTGCTGCAGTGTAAACTGTCACCAAATACCAAATCCATTCCTGCATCCAAATTTAGGGATTGCTTATGCCTTCAAGTGTGAGAGCTTTATGAGCGACTTATTATCTTATTCATATAGATATAAAATCATGAATGTTGATTTTATTTTTTTTTTTTCCTCCCCTGTCTGTTTTTCAGGACCCAAGGAAACTGCTTTTTGCTACTGGTAAGTCTGTTGCAAAACTGAATGAGAAAGTTTGCAGCTTCTCATCATCACTTTCCAGATAAAACATTTTGATCCTGTGTTCGCATGCTTCATTTGTTGTATTTCAGTTGGGTTGAGATGTGTTATTTGTGTTAATATAACCTGGGTTTGCTTATCTAATAGTCAGGAGGGAGGAGTTACATAAGCCCCATAGTAGGATGAGCAGCATCTTCAAAGCTGTTGTACAGATGAGTCAGTGGAAAATCATCAAACAGATTCTTCATAATATTAAACACCGATTCCTAAATGATCCAATTTCTAGAAGAAGAAACACAACAAAAAGCAGTTGTCTTGCTTCAGCTGTTTTATTTCAGGGTTGGTTTGACTTCAGAGCCATCAAAACTGTTACATAGGAATTAGGCTTCAGCACTCATAAAGCAAAAATAAGCAGACGTTTTTGGTGCAGGAATTTAGAAGGAAGCAACATTTGCATATGGAGGGGTAGGCACAAGCCTTAGCTGTCATGCTTCACAAGCAGATAAGGGTCCTTTCTGAGGTCATCTCTTTTTCACTCTAATTTACATCAAATGCAAAAATCCCAACTTGGTAGCTTTTAGTGCAAGGCTCAAAGGAATTGTTCTGGACAGCAATAAATGGAGTTCTAGATCTGTCAATCCCAATACATTTACTGGAATTGGCAGCCTGTGGGAAAGGGCTTTCCAAAAACCCTAAGCAAGGTTTAGGTCTGCTGAGAGTAGAGGAAGTGAGAAAGTGAAATAATAGAAATTGAGGTACAAGTTAACTGCTAACTGGAAATAAGTTTGGTAACTGGTGTAGCTAGTGAATTGGTGGGGGCTTGAAAGAAAGTAACTCACAAAGGAGAGAGTTAAAGATGGGGAGGGAGAATCAGAACAGGCATCTAGTATTATATTTAATATCTTAGATAAAGGAGAAGGACTTGGGGTGAACAATGAGTGTAGAGGCCTCATCAAATAGTGTCACAGCTCTAGGGATGCCTTGAGACCTCTCCAGCTGAGCAGAGGACCTGCAGGGTAGAACTCCTTTTACCCTCTGACAGCCAGGAAGACATTGCATTTTCAAAAGTTTGAGCCCTTTATTGCAAAAATCATTTATTCTAAGACATATTAAATTTAAAATTACTCAGATCACTCCCAATCCTCACAACTGGTAATTATCATTTGTTATTTGTGCTGTGGAAGTGCCAAGACAAGGACCGAGATTTTGCTGCACTGGGAGCTGTACAAATATGCAAAAAAATGGTTTCTTCCCAAACAGTTCAGAACTAGATTTATTGGCTTTTTTTTTTTTTTTTTTTTTTTTTTTTTTAACACAGTGAAGAGAAGGAATAAGGAGTTAGAAGGATTTACAGTGTGATAGCTTTTCAGATCAATCCAGGAAAGAACCTTCTTCCTTAAGGGTGTGAGGCTAGCTCTGGGAGGAACAAGTATTCAAGATTATAGTTAGTGAAGGAAAAGAGAGACAGGGAATAGAGGAAACACTAACAATGCACAGATGAATTGGAGCAAGGCTGTGAGTGATTTCATGTTTGCAGTTTGATGGAGAAGAGAATTGAAGAACTGGATGTAAACAGTGACCAGTAGCTTGAGTGACAATGTAGGAAGCTGGATCAAGTGTTGTACTGCAATTTGATTGGAAGTATTTGTGTCAGAGAGGGGATTGATTGCACACTAAATATCAAATTAGATCAAGAAAGAAAAAATGAAGAAGGAAATAATGGAAAGAATACACATTTTTTATTGCAACTGCTTTTAGTTATAAACTTTTCATGAAGGGGTGAAATTATGTTCCTTATGCAGTCCATGACAAAACTTTCATAGACTGTAGGACCAGGATCTTTCCTACAGTTTGTAAAACTGAGGGGTGATGTGGGATATATCAGATTTTGGGTATCAGACTTTTCAACAACATTTATGAAAAGATAAGATTTCAAATTATCTCTTTATTTCTAGAGTCTGAAGTCACAATCAATTATTTAAAAAGTTAGCTTGTTCTTATCATTAGAATATGATCCTGTAAAAGATCCTGGACCATTAAAATCTGTGGTTTTGCCATCTACGTCCATGAAAGATTGTTGAGGCGTTTATATTCTCATACTAAAATAACTTACCTAGCTTTGTGCTTGGTGATTGTCTTGACTGATTTTGTTTAAATCCAAACACATGGCTTTTAGGGTGACTAGAGACGATGCTTAAAAAAATAATTCTTCAAGAAGTAAAAGATTTTCATGTAATGCTTCATGGATTTTAAGTTCTTAATTCTTAATTCAGATTCTTAATTCCAAGAATAGCAATTTTGAAGATAGGTGCTCAGAAAAATTGGTAACTTTGGTTGGGATTTTTCTGCTCTATCTCTAGGCTGATGGTTTACTATACTTTATAGGCAGAAATCTACTTTAGGGTGAGATTAAACATGCTATAGAAATATTTGTTTCTCTCCTTTGGCTTCAAAAAGAGCTGAGGATAGACTAGTTCTGGTATGAGTCTGCATTTGAACAGATGAGTCCAATCCTGAATGTTTTTAACCTTTCCTTCTTAAATACTGGCTATAGATTACTATCACAGACCTTGCTCTATGGGCAACAATTTCAAGCATAATACAATGCCATGGAGAGTAATTTCAGGCTCTTTCACATTGCAGGATGAAATGGGTTGGCAACCAATTGTAGTGACAGCTTGCATAGAAATTGATTTGCTTGAGATTCTGTCCCTGACCGGGTTTTTAATTGTCATGTTCAACAGAGTTTAGGGTTTGGAATAAAAAAGAGACATAGAAACTTGTACAGTCAGTCAAACAAATAGGCAGGGTTTTTTTTTTGGTTACCTGCTTGGAGACAAATGTCATGAGGGAAAGATTACAGGAGCAAAGAGTAATAGGAAATTAGTGATGCATAGTGAAATGTAAGGAAAAGGGCAGTTTTCTCTGGAAAGGTAGGAAATAACACAGCAGCTCTTATTTCCTATCTAGATTGATGCATGCATTGTCTTCAAGAGATAAATGCATGCAAGAGTTTGATTGAATCATGATTTATATGTCTAATAACTTCTACTTTCCTGGAAGGTCATGGGACACAAGTATACCTCTTCACAGTTCAAATATAAATTATCTTATGTCTGTTTTAGTTCCAGGTCTGACTGGAGTCATTATGGTGTTGGTATTATTCCTAATGTGTACAGCTTCTACATATGCCATCAGGTAAGACATAATCTGATCATTATGCTGAAAATGCCATTTGAGTAATCATATTCTCATACTGACTAAAAGGAATGAAAAGTAAATGCAATACGAGGCAAGAAGTATTTAAATGAGTTTTAAAAATACCACTTTTGCTACCCTGTTTTTTTTCAACTAGCTTGCAGGTAAATTAGCAAAGTGAGTTTTGTATTCAAAAATTACAAAACCTGCCTTACAAAAATTGCCTTCAGAGAAAAATATTTTCTGAGAAATGTGCTCAGTTAAAAATCTAGACCTTTAAAAATTCAAATAGTTATTTTTTCCTGTTTGCACATGGAGGCAGTAAAGTAACCATATGGAAAGTTCTGTCCAATGCATAAATTAACTCCACTGTTAGTAAAATAAGATGATATCTTTAGCTTAATTATTTTCACCAATTACATATATAAAACTGTAAAAAAAAAAAACCCAACCCAGCAAAGGAAAAAAACAGCAGCGAAGCAAACAAACAGAATTGTGCTACTTAAGTAGAATGTTGCTTTTTTAAAGCTCTGCTTTTGGTTGTCAGATATATTCTATTTAATGGCAATTATAATTTTGAAACTCAAATGCAGTACTGGCTCAGAGTAACTGCTTGGATTTCTAAAGCTTTGGTTCTCCAATGGCTTCACATTCTGCACCAGTATTACTGAATACACATTATAGTACATTTGAGTGATCAGTACCTTAGAGGATCTAGCCCAGTGTTATAGCCTTTTTGAGTCTTGGATTCTGCAACTGAAGCATATAAAAAACTCCTTGATATAACAGCAGTCTCAGATGAATTCAAAGACTGATTCTGTAAATGTATCATCCCAATTCAGCAAACACTGAAGGATATTTAATTCTATATCTTCAAACATTAATGGTGCTCCACTCATGTGAGCTAGATATATGGTTTTGAGCTTTGAACTGATCTGTTTTTTTCTGAGTACCAATGTTATCAGGTGCTGATTCAGGAAAATAGTTAAGCAAATGCTCGTGTACTTTTTGTAGATGAATACTTTCAGGGTTGAAACCTTTGTGATACACTCTAGTCTACAGATGTGCAGGATAAGACTGCTGCACAAGGTGTCAAACATGGCTGCACATTACATAGACCACACCGATGGCTCTACTTTCAAAAGAAAGCCAGTTTGGGGAAGTTGGAAAAGTAAAACAATTACTTCACTCTGCAGCAGTGAGCCAGAACAAAGTCCTGTTTTCAAGGCCATGATAAATTTGAAAAGAACAACATTTATTAATGATTGGGACACTTAGTAAAATATAAGTAGTTGCAAACTTATTATTGGAAATTATAATTTTGGTGTTCATGCAACAAAGGTTTCCATCATTTGAAGTTACATGCTTATTTCTTTCTTCAATTACTGTAAGTGCAAGTGCTTTCCCATCTTTCTGCATCAAAGACCTTAAGAGTTCATCTGCATCTCCTATTACTCTCACAATAATTCTTATTTAGAAATTTCATCCCGACTTCTCCCTCTGGCATATGATTCAAGCTTGTCTTTACAGTGTGTTTTTCTAAGCAAACAAGCTTCCCTGTGCATCTTTCTGTTCCTTTTCAGTATCTTTCCCCATGAATTCTCACATGCCTTATGATGGCTAAGCTCACGCCATAGTTTTAGGAAAACTAATTGTAAATATTCACTGCTTACCAGAAACTGGGCTTTTTAAAAAATATTTCAGAGGCTATTATACTCTTGGACTCCAGCCCTAATCCTCTTTTGCACACAGACCTGATTAATCATTTCTTCCTTTGTATGTTCTTCCTGAAATTTTTCTATGCATGATTATCCTGCTATTTTTATGCCTTTACTTATTCAGTAAGCTGTGTGAATAAGGATAGAATTAGCTGATGATGTTTTAAAAGGGGAGAGTGAGTACTGATTGAAAAATTTTCTACACCTTTACTGTGTCATACCTGAGAATTAGACCATCATTTTTTTGTTCAGTAGTTGTTTGTTGGAAGGGTTATGAAGTTAGAAAATACAATAAATCATGTGAATAAACTTTGACATTTCTGCTTTCAAATTAATGTTGTCCAACAGTATTTCCATTGAATACAATTACTAGTGACTTTGGAAATCATATATTTAAAGGAACATTAAAATTATAAGCTGACCCAATGCCATCTCTTTTTATAACTAAATATTACAGTCTTCAATTTAATCTTCTAAACTATCACATATATCTTCCTTTTCAAAACTAGCTGTAACAGGGTTAAAAAGATTTTTCCAAAACTGCTGCTTACTGTGTCCCTTGTAATGGGAGATTGCTATGCTTTCATTTCTCAGTAATTTAACTCTTGCAGATCTTCACCTGCAAAATTCTAAAATAGGTTAACCAAAATTAAAAAGAAATATTCAACTTGATCTCAAATTTTCAGGACTTTATGTTCCTAAGAAATACATTCATTCTGCTAATAATGTATATTTTAAGCCTGAAGAAGGTAAATAAAGTAATAAATGTTCTGAAGAACGATAAATATATATATGTAGCAGTAGGAAGATTGAGTATATTAGAATACTCTATGTATCTGTAGGATACACAGTTTAAGAATGATACAAGTAAGAAATATATATTTATTAAAATGTTGGAAGACATCCTTAATGATAAGAGGTTCAAGGATCTCCATCCCTTTAGTTTAAGGAGCTGAAGTTGAGGGGACTTGATTACATTTAGGGGAACTCGATACATGCGAGGAACCAGGATTTTATAGTTGAGGTATCTGCAAGAATACTGAAAGAATAAAATGCTCAACTGGCTGGAAACTGACATTTTGACATATTCAGACAAGAAGTGTACAGTAATTTTAATCAGCAATAATATGTCAGAAGCTGGGATTGGTTTTCCGTCAATTAAATTCTTGGAAAATTGGTGCATTCTGAAAAAAAACACTCAAGATTCAATAAAAATTAATTCTGTGTGAGTCTTTTGGTATTGTAGCAAGATACCAAATTAAACCAGAGCTCCAAGACCTGTGTCAAGTCTTGGAGTAAATGTTACTCTCTTTGTGCCTTCCCACTGTCCTTCTACTTCCCATACCATCATCCTTTACTTTCATCTTACTGGTGTCCACTCCCACAACTCCCTCCAGGTACTGATGAGTGACTGCATGGAAGCGCCTACCAGGGTGTGGGTAGTTAGAAATGGTTTGAGCAACCTCAAGGAGGAAAAACTGTTAGCGTGGTGCTGAATGGGGGAAGGATGTCAGGGTGACGGGGGGGTTTCAGGGCCCCTTGCTGTTACTGGATTCCTTAGAACTGCCCTTGCTTGGATTTTATTTTGTTGGCCCTCAGATTATTGAAATTACATTTTCTGTCTTGAGAAAGAAAGCAAATAGGTCTTGTATTGACAAAAACAAATACAGTGTATGTTTCAGATGTATTGAAGCAAGGGTAGCTATTTGTTCACGTAAAAGGCCATAGGAGGGGGGAAAAAATTCTGAAAAGAAGTTAGCCATTTTGGAGAAGTAGCTTCTTAAACTATGTTCTCAGAGTTAAGGACATTTCTCATTTAGTAATTGTTTTGGCTTCTGAATGAGGGTATGTGGTTTGGTTTTGGAAGAGACTCTCCTACTATGCTGTGGAGTGTGAGACATGTTTTTGTGTGCTATGAAGTAGAGTATTTTCTTAACCATTTGGTGGTTGTTTTTTCTTCAGTGAAATAGTCACCAAAAAACAACAAACAAGGTTAACAGAAAACAGTTCCAGATGGGTATTTTCTGTGGTCTTGGTTGTTTTTACATTACCTAACAAATCACTGATGAAAGGAAGTCCTCTTTCCCTTCACCTCTCCTGATCTTCACAGTTTTAATGTTGTTCTTGTTCCTTCCAAGACCATCAGTTCTACAGCCCAACCCTATGTGGCCTCCTGCCCCCCATCAATTGTCCTACCTGTCCTCTCGTTGCCTCCTTGCTCTAGTTCCCTATTCTCCTGTATCTCCTTCCACTTCATACCCTCACAAGTTTGTTTCCTTTCCCACCAACCCTTCTGCTGCTGTCTATGCTGCCTGTTTGTATGTTTTACTGGTAGTGACACATTAAACACTGCAGCCTTGTTTTGGGGCAGGGAGAACACAAGGAGGCACTCACTGTAAAGAGGTTGAGTTTTGAGCCTGGATACTGAAAAACTATTCTAGCTATAAGGTGTTGAGAGGGACTAAGTAGAACCTATGAAAGCAGTGAAGTCTCCTACTTTAGGAAGAGTTCTTCAGCTGGCTCTGTACTTCTATATCCTTCATGTCTTTCTCAGCTTTTTACTTCTGTGCCAGTTACCTGTTCTCAACACTTTATTGCTTGCAAGTACAGTGTGCCTGTAGGAGCACATATTGGGCTTTGACTGTTCTATATGACTACATGGCATATAATGATGTCCTGTGTGCACAGATCTGCTTTTAATTAGCAGTGATTCCATCTGAGTGAAACAGGATTGAACCATGGTTTATTCTTTTCAGGGTTTCAAACTATGACATCTTCTGGTATACACACAACCTTTTCTTTGTCTTCTATATGCTGCTGATGCTGCATGTTTCTGGGTAAGTAAATGGAAAACACTGTCCCTTTTCCTGAAGCACAACCAGAAAGAGCAGTTCCCTTCATTGGTGCCTTTCCCGAGCTCGCTTGTGCAGAGTGGGCCAACTTCTTGACAAGATGTTATCTTCAGTTTTTCAACAAGTGTTTGTTTAAATAAAGGTCAGACTGTAGCTTGGGAAATTATGTTACTACACCCAGCTAGCACAAACTTCTTAATTTTCAAGTTGATTCCTTGTCCATTTAGCAGTTTCTAGTGTGAAATAAAGAAAATGTTGTTTCTTTTCTGCCTCCCCTTACCTGACTGCTGACAGGAGAATGTGAAGCAAAGTTGCTCATCTCTTTCTCCTTCCTCTCTATCTTCAATTTTAACTTCTAAGGAGAGGAAAGGAACGACCTCTCCCTAATTATCTCTTTCTTATCGCTATGATACAAAATTTACTAGTTTTTTCTTCTTGTTTTCACAAACATCAGACCAGTGTTCATGTGTCATAAGGCTGATGGTCAGGTCTGTATCAAGTACAAACAAGACCAGGTCTACTGCGAAGTAAAGCAGCTTCCACAAGTTATGCTGTGTGAAAATCTGGACAGTGAATATCTCTGAAGTTTCCCTTGTGGATGTAGGTACAGAGATTGGTATAGGGAAGGGAAAGAGTACTTGAATTAAGTTTATTTCTTCGTGTCATCAAACATCTACTGAAACACAGAGTGCTGGAATGTCAGTGTGACACTGAGCACCGCTGCTTAAAGTAAACAGTGAAAAGTAATTAGGCCTAGCAAGATCACGGTAGGAGTATGTAGTTGAACAAAAGAAACACAGCTTGAGATCTGGTGAATTGAAATAATGAGTACAGAACAACTGGAATTCCTGGACAAAATTCCAGTTCTCTGTGGTTTGGAATTTTTGTTCGTTTTTTTTTTGTGTTTTTGTGTGTGTTGGTTTGTTTGTTTGTTTGTTTTGATTTTTTTTTTTTTTCTATGTCATAGCTCTTGTTCATAGCTGGTGAAGATGGATCTAACGTGTTCTCTCTGTCCTGGGGCAGGATGAATTTTTGCTAAATTATTCGTGACAGGTGTTTGTCTGACTTGAAAACATCTGGTGACTGAGATCCTCTAACTCCCTAGGCAATCTGTTCCAGAGATTGCCTTTGGGATACTTTTCATGTCCATTTTAATTCATCTCCTTCACTGTATTATCCTTTGTCCATTTTATTCCAAGACATGTTTCCACTTCATGAAGAAGTCTAGTTGGAGATGTTTTCAAACCAAGGCTGCAATAATACACCAAGCATTAAACAGGCATCATCTTGTACACAGCCTTAATATTGAATTGAAAAGTCGTTCAGTGCAAATCTAAGAAAACTGAGTGTCAATTAAAAGTGGGAGAAGAATGAGTCACGGAGAGTGGGAGTCAATTCAAGTTTAAGATGCCTAAATGTAGGTCTCTCCATGTTTTCTAAGTGTCTTTCTCCATTATAGTCTAATGAGTTCTAATAAATACAGTCAATGGAGCCTGAAGGATGCTTCAGCTAACCTGCAGCTACAGAGATCTACATTCAAGTGAGCTGGATTAATTTTTTGGGCTTCATTGGTGATATTTATTAGAAGATCTCTTCTGAGAATTAAGGAAGCTTAGATACCCACACTTAGGTGCCCAAATGACTCCTGCATGGTATGTTTTAGAGATTTGCAGACGTATGGACAGTTACTGTACAGAGCAAGGTGCCTTCTGTTGCTGAACTGTGCAGGCAGATTGGGTGAGGATTTACCTGTCCTTTTGAGTATTTCAACAGTATTCCTGGATTCTTGTTTTGTTTCAAACTATTATGGGTATGTTCTTACAGTATCTCTTCTTCAGGGTAGCCAAACACTTCTCAGCAGTATATAAAGTGACATGTTTCATCCATCATATGTTGTTGGTCTGTTCTTTCATCCCTACCCTAAGGGAGAGGAGAATCTTTCAGGGAATTATCCTTAAAGACTTTAGTTGCTCCTGTACTTCTTGCAGTGTGACTTTCAAGTATTTTAGTGGCTTAAGTCTTGGTGCATATCTACATTAGTTTATCTATATTTTAAGCCAGTAACAGCAACAACAACAGATAGTTTATGTAAAATAGAAGCTTGATGTTTCTAGTACCAATGTAAAGAGCTATAAAACATACAAAACATTTGGAGCCAGATCCTCAGCTGATCCAAATTTGGTATTACTGTGGAGTTAAAGGTGTTATACTGATTCACAGGAGGTGAGAATAAGGCCTTTGTGATGTCACTAAAGTTATTCAAGGATTTATCTTCCAACGGGTGAAAATTCTTAAGATTCCACCCATGCATTAACCTTTAGCAGACTCCTGAAGCCACTCACCTTTAACTGAGCAGCAGAATGAGAGTATAGGATGAGAAAATAGGAGCAGTGCAATTCCCTATAAAAACACTTAGAACCATTGACCTGTAGCTTATCATAAAAATCTCTACAAGTAGTGACATATATTTTTCCAGTTCTAGCGAGAAGTTAATTTTGTTTCTATTTTGGGATTGGAAAATTGGGTCAGAGGTTGATGTATGCCCATGCAAATCATGCATGCTGTGTTGCTCAGCCTGTAGGACACTTTCCTGTTTTGTGTCTCCCATTTTTGTTTGCTATAGATGTCTGTCTCCTACTTACTGACATCCAAACTGAATTTTTATGTATTCAAGTGTTGCACCAAATAAATATATAAGGAGATATCTTAGGCTCCTTAAGAGTTGTGCAGAACTCAGCCTTTCTGGGAACTGATCTTGGGTATGTAAGACAACTTGACTTTCCTTGACAGCTTCAGAAATGGGAGTCATTGCAGCTGCTGTTAACAGGCAGCTTTATCATCCCAGTTTGCCACTCAGTTAACATGTTTGTAATAGTTTAAACAAACTAGAGATCACTGGAAGCATTGCTTATGTTTGCAGTTCAGCTATTCATGCCTCAAGTAAAACTTTGAATCCTCTTTTGGGATGTTCTGAGAACAGAGAAGCTGTGGGAGCAGCTGGCAGGCATGCACACAAGGTTGATTGGAAAAATATCACATGTGCTGTGTCTTTCAGCTAAATCCATGAGGCACCATAATGTTTATGGAGCAGGGAACTAGCATAATACTAGGGGTATCTTTCACTTTACAAATAGGCGATGACCAACAGTGATGCCAGATGAAAACAATAGGCATGATCGGGCAATAGAGAGAGAAGCATGGGTGTAGGTGCATGAATGCTTCCCAAGTGATTCTCCCAGGGTTGGACATGGACTTTAGAGTGAGCAGGTTTAACTTCCAAGCTGTAGATTGTTCACTGGACCGTGTGGGAAGCTTGTTACTAGCTGTCAGTACTGCATTTCAGTAGGGAAGATTGCCAGTAGCCTGTCAGAGCCCATTTAGGTTGGGAATATTGCAGATGTCCTACTTCTCTCTCTTCTTGTGAATTAAACTCTGTCACTGCTGCTGCTGTGTGTCTACACTGAGAAGAGGTGGGGAAGCATAAGTCCTTATGTTTGACTGTGTACGTCAGATGAGCCTTCACTGCATGGCCTAGCATTCAGAGGGCACGTCTCTGCTCTTTAGCCCTTTGGTTTTTTAAATATTCCTCCTTGTGGTTTTATTGTCATCAAATCCAGATTTAGAGGCAAGTAGTACTTCTGAAAAATTTTATTACTGGTATTATCAGTTCTTCTCCATTTTCAATCATTCATTAATGTGCTGAGATATCCCAGAGTGTCTCAGGTTTCCACTTCTTTCTTCATACTTTCTAGCTGCAGCTGTAATGTTCTCACTTCCTTTTACTATGAATTTAACATTAGCTTAAAAAGCAAGCATGGATCCCACAAAATAATTTGCAAGAAAGGTTCCTTCGCTGTCACGCAGGACTTTCTTTTTTTTCTTCTATCTATTTGACAAGATGATATTCAAAGGAGAAAATTATACTATTGTGTGCAAACCTGATAAACACCAAATAGTAGGAACATTCCCACAGTTTATGATTTGGCAACTTAAGCCACTTCTGTTACAGATTGCCTTACAAAACAGGGCTTACTGACTGTAGGGAGGATGAGTGAAAACAGCTGGGGTGTGATTGAACTGGAAATATGATTATTTAATTTTTTTCAAGGCTCCCACAATATCTTCTCCCTTTCAAGCAGTAGTAAGCTTGAGGCTGTTCAGTGAGGGAGTGCCAAATGAGCTGGAAAAGTTAAACCTTGCCTCTTGTGACAGAGGGCTCTATTGTTGCAAAGCTTCAATCTCATTGAAAGTCCTGAAAGCAAATGGAATAAAAATTCCTACAGAAGATGAGCTTTTCTTGATTTTGACTGTTACTTCAGTGTCTTTTCAATTTTTATTTTCCTGTAGGGGAGTGCTCAAGTACCAGACCAACTTAGAGGAACACCCTCCTGGTTGCTTTAATCCTAACAAAACACTCCAACAGAGTATGACGGTGCCAAAGGCTTTTGAAGAGCTGTTTCCTGACTATACTACTGAGCCTTTCCCAGAGGACTTACCAGTACCAGAACCCTTTGTACAAAATAACTTTATGAGAATTTGTTCCGAGGAACCCAAGTTCCAGTCACACTTCCCAGAGGTCTGTATGATCCGACGTTTCAGGTATTACAAGCCATGCCAAGTCTTTCAGTCAGCCATGACCACTAATTATTGCTTTTCCAGACCAGATGTTTTAATAATGGAAAATATTATTATAAACCTTTTCAGTCATTCAAAGATTTAGTGGGGAAAAAACAATCTGTATTAAACCTTGAACTGCATTACAATATGATGCATAGAATAGGGAGAAAAAATGTCAAGAGATTGGTTGTAATACTCTTTTTTTTGTACGACGGGGTAAGAGATGTATTGGTCTTGCTATAAATGTGACTTTAAATTATATCATAGCACTTCAGAGAAAACATTTCTATAACATATTCATAAAGTCCCTTTGTAAGCATTGTGTGGCAGTAGTTAACTGAAATAATCAAGCTCCATTTGTTCTCCTTTTTACCATGTGGATGCAAGTCCCAATACTCATTTCTGGGTTGCAGTTGGTTGTGGTTTGGCTTTGCATAGCCTGTTGTTTACAGACAAGCGTGTTTTATATGTGGCATGGGTAAATGAATATGATGACAGTGGGGATGGAAGAGCCTTTTCTTTTTCTGTTTTCTGTTCTCCTTTTGTTTCTTTATGTTTTATGGCAGTAGCTTTTTCTTCATCCAAATTTTCTCTTTTCTTTTGAGAGAAGATCTGAGCTGTATTGGCAAGTAGCCTGAGGAAGTTTGGGAATATGGAATTCACAAGTCCAAGGCCTACCATTCAAGGTGGTCCCATAACAGACCTCACAGGAGTTTATCATTATTGTTGTTTTTTGTATAACACGTGTCCCTTACTAGCTGCAGTGGGAACACATTTTACAATGGAGCATTTAATCATAATAAGAACCAGTCAATTCTACATTGAAGTCCTCCACCAAAGTTCTTTGGATTTGTATTTTGTTGTGGTAATACTCCTGAATTACAAGCATCAATGTATATTTGTCTCCATGTGATGCACAGAACATCAAACAGTCTTCTTAGGGGCTTAAGATACCTACTTTAGAGACGTTTATGGGAAAAGAAAATCTGTGGAAAGAAATAGCCACTCAGTGTTCTCCTGGCAGCCTGTAACATTATTTAGGATTTTTTTGGATTTGGAAGTGTTTTATGCACTTAGTGATACCAAGTCTTAAGGCTTTTCTTTTTTTAGGTCTTGTGAGCTACTGAAGTTTTTAAGGCCAGAGGTACTTGAGGAAATTAAATACTCTGCTAGTTGCAAGAAATGCTGATGGGTAACATCAAAAATTGGGAAGTTGAACGAAGGTTGAGGGCTCTTCAGTGCCATGGCTTGAATGGCTGAGCAGATGTGGAATTAGTAGTTAGATCTGCCATAAGCTGTTAGTAATTGACTCTTAGGATGAGATGTAGCTGAGCAGCTGCAAGTGTCTCCATCTGAGGTAGTCATCCAGGGCTCCCCGTATCAGTGCAGAGGAATGGGCATTTCCAGGGCATTATTTGTCTAGCATACATATCTTCCACTGGGGCAAATGATTTTATGATTCAAAAGTGCCCCTTTCTCTCCCTTGTCTATGATTTTACACTAGTTTAATAGAATCATATATTCTGTAGCACAAGAATACTTATTGGTTTGTTTTTTGCTTGTACTTGAGGTGATTAAAAGAAGGTAAGAGTCAAATAATACTGCAAGTCAGACAATGTTTTTCCAGAAGGTTTACCAGTTTTATAGTATTCCAGTCTGTTAAATTTTGAAATAGTGTATGTACTGTGTCATTTACCACTGAAACCAGTTGCAATCTAACTATATAAAATCAGAGTAACATAGTTGCAAATGAGATCATTAGCATTTTGTTCTTGATGAGTTTTATGATTGAAATTGCTTGTACTTGTGGATGATGCTGCTGGCTAGACTGATTAAGACTCCATAACATGCTTGGATTTCTGCACGTGGAGAGGTGTGGAGGTTACTTGTGACCAAAACACTGTTCCACAGTAGATGTGAAATGAGATCCTGCAAGCACTCATGTAGTTTTTAAATTAGAAAACATAAAATGAAAAGTCCTTGAGGTAACATATTTTTGTTCTCTCACAGACCTGGTTTTGGATTTCTGGACCTCTGTGCTTGTACTGTGTGGAGAGGCTGTACCGCTACATCCGCAGCAATAAGCCAGTCACAATAACTTCAGTGATAGGCCATCCCTCCAATGTCCTTGAAGTAAGGATGATGAAAGATGACTTTAAAGCAAGGCCTGGTCAGGTGAGTTAATGTACCCCTAAAAAACCACTGCTGCTCATGTAGCATTGTTTATTGGGATGACTTTCACTTTGTACGTAGTAACCCATCACTGAATGTTTTGAACATATCATTTCTATCATTTCATTTTCTCTGGCTGATTTTGTTTCAGTATGTTATTCTACACTGTCCAAGAGTGTCTGCACTGGAAAGCCATCCATTCACCCTTACAATGGTAAGAAATATGATTTTTTTCTATACTTTCCCTTCTATTTATATTTGGTAAGCAAATGGTCTTTATTTCCTTCAAGGTGAAAATTCCTTCCAGAGGATCTTATGTTTCATTTATGAGGTTACCAATGAATATGAAATGGCATGATTATTATGTGTGACAGTACTCAATACATATTTAATTTTCTCCAGTTGAGAAAATAACAGGAACTTTTTTTCAAAGTCTTCCATAAGTGAAAAACAATAATAAATAAATAAAATCCATGTGATTTTGATCATTGTTTCATAAAAAAGGTATCAGCTGTTTTTGTAGACTTTAATGCAGAGTGAGCACAAATTGTAATGAATTTTCTATCGTCTTTCCTATTCAATGAAAAGACATTCCTGCAACTGTATTTTCCAAAGTTAGAAAAACATCGAGGTTGAAAAAGAAGCTTCTGAAATAGTCTTCAGGTTTATTGTAAGGGATATATTGATGACTTAGTCATATACCAGTGAAATCATACAACATTGGCATTGTTATTTACTCAGCTCAGTTGATCTAGAATGGCATTTGGACCCCCTGGAGGCAGAGTGGAATAAAGTGAAATTGTTTATAAATAGACCTGAAGTTCTTCAGGAGTGAGCAGTGTAGAGGCCTGGGAGATACTAAAAAATCACTGTACTGCACTGGCTATGTTGTTACGAAAAGCAGAGTCTAAGGTTGAATATTAGTGGCAGCTTTTTCCTTCCAAAGGGAATAAAGGCTTTAGGATTGCATAAAATGGATATTCTTCTTCATGAAGACCATGGAAATAAATATTCACATTTTATTCTTTCCTTTGGACTGATAACTCATACTTTATCCCTCCTGAATTGTACCTAGTGCTATGGAACAGCTGAGATGTTTTACTGTTACCTGAAACAGACAGGGGTACAATCAGGTCCTGTCCACTTCCATTTCTTTGGTTTTGTGGGGTGCTTTTTGGTTTTGTTTTGTTTGTTTGTTTGTTTTAATTTATCTATATACTGAGCCAGGAGGTAAGTACTGTCACAGGGGAACCCACAATAAATTCCACTCAAAATAAGTTTTGTGCTGTAAATCTGGGAATGAATATCACTTAAGGGAAGTTGCCTCTGTATAGCTTGGTGAAGCAATATTGGCACATGCATAGCCTGATTTTTGCAGTTTTCCTGGCTATTCACTTTACTCATAGAAAGCACAGGTGTGTGTTATTTATCTGTTGCTAACTCCAACAGGCAATTTTTAAGGCTTTTCTCTGTATAGCACATGAAGATAACTAGATATACAATGTTGAAAAATTATGTGTGTTGAGTATGATTTTATAGCTATGTGGTAGCTGTTTTTTGTGAAGAATGATTCAATCAGTATTTATATTTTTTTATTAGTTTAGTGATCAGAAGATAAATTTAAAGAACTCACCATAAGTCTCAGATTTCTCTTTATACTCATTTGTCCCTAACATATCTATATTTAATAAATTTAGACCTGTTCTATACCAGTGGACGCATGTTATTTAAACATTAATCTCAAAACATCATGTTCTTAATTTCTGACTGTTCATCTCAATGGAAATTAAAATAATGGTAATTATTTGATCATTAGTAGTAATTGCACAGTTTGGGAACTGTGGGACTGATAAAGATTTACTCTTCTTATATTAGGACACTGCTAAAACAATGGATTGCACAATTTAAATTTTCAGAAATAATGTTATCAAAGAATATTAGGTTTTGTTTGGTGGTAGTTTCTCTGGCAAAACATCTTATTTGTTATGATGAGAGTTTATGTCAGAAAAGAGACTGCTGATACAGACCTACTGGGTTAGATCATAGGATGAAGTTGAATAAGATGCTTTATTGAAGTCAGATTCTTTGCATGAGCTGAGGATTTCATCCAGTATTTAAAATGGCATACCTTAATAATGCATGTTATGAAAAATTATTTTTGCACAAAACCTGCTATGGAAAAGAGATCTCTTGTTGTGAGTCTGAGTTTTCTTAATGAATATAAATAACACATTTCTAGTCAGGTAATGTGTGGTGTATTTCCGATACATAAATCTAACTGATAAACTACAGCTTGTGTAATTTTTATAGTCATGTATTAAATATGTAACTTCAGAACTAGCAATTTCCACTCATGCACGATGCATTATGTTTTAAGTATGTAATACTAGACCAGGCAATTTCTGTTCATGCTCAATGATTTACACTTTAAAGTACAGTGATATCCTTCAGCATAACAGCATATCCTTCAGGATTGAATACGTATTTTAACTATTACAAGATATGAAGTTACCACTGAGTTACTGAGCTTCATTTTTATTGCCATAAACACGTTTCAGCAGAACATCAACTATGCTGGAAAAATGCTGTTATTGAGTAAATGGCTGTTTTACTACATAATGAGGATATGTAATATCTAGGTTTATGACAGTCTTTTTACCCAGCCTAAGCAGAGGACAGTGCTTTCCACATGTCTTTCTAGGTCATAGAATATGCCTTGGGCTGCTGTCCAGAAAGAATTTTTTTGTTGTTGTTGTTTAATATGATGCCAGACATGGGACTGTGCTTATAGAGTGTGTAGGCAACAGCTTAACTCAGTGTTTTTTCTGCTTCCATCTGACCTACTTGTAGTTACCAAGCAAGCTGGAACACTACTGCTGCTTCTTTTGTTGGATAATGATAATCCCTGGGTTATTTTCTTAAGATGGTGTGGGAGCATGGGGCTCAGAGCCACAGCAAGAGCAGCACAAGGGATGCACGGGGCTTTGGGTACTTGGAAGCACAGTGCCCACGTTGACCACAGCAGAGTAAGGGGGGAAGACTGCAGCTTTCTTCCTGTTGCTGTTGTCCTGCTTAGAATCACAGAATCACAGAATGATTTGGTTTGGAAGGGACCTCCAAAGGTCATTTAGTCCAACCACCCTGCAGTAAGCAGGAACATCTTCAGCTAGATCAGGTTGCTCAGAGCCCCGTCCAACCTGGCCTTGAATGTTTCCAGGGATGGAACATCCACCACCTCTCTGGGCAACCTGTGCCAGTGTTTCCTCATCCTCAGTGTAAAAAATGTCTTCCTTTTATCTAGTCTGAATCTAGCCTCTTTTACTTTAAAACCATTACCCCTTGTCTTATCACTGCAGACCCTACTAAAAACTCTGTCCCCAGGATCTATGTGATGTCTTGTCTAAGCTGATGAAACATCTCACTGTGCCTGGAGTATGCTTAAAAGACAAGAAGTGTCCAGTTCAGGCATACATTTGTACTCTAAGTGAGGACTATAAGCAAAAGTGGAAAGGAAGGAGTGAGTCAGCATGAAGGAGTCATGCAGATATTTTACTAGTGCCTTCCCTTTTTGAGATTGTGTAATATTTACAGTTTAGCTCTGTTTCTTACATAACGCTGGGGAAAACACTGGGAGGCTGTGTAAAGGGCCTGAACCCACTCCCATCGCACCCTGGCAAAGCTCCCATGTTTTTCACTTAGAGCCAGAGGGAGCTCTGAATAGTAACCAAGTGAACATAAAGAGGTAGGCATTGCTCAGAAATGTGTACAGTAGTGTTTCTTTTCTTTTCTTTTTTTTTTTTTTTTTTTGTCAACTGAAAGCATTCTTTCCCCTGATGATGGAAGGAATGAGCAGAAGGCCTTGGTGCAAAATGCACATGGGAATTTGGACAAGCAAAATGCACGTTGCTCTGAACTGAGGACTGCCAGCCTGGCTTCTTTGCTAACCTGTGACCTGGCTTTACTGTCATATGCTACATGCACAGAATTATGGAATGGCTGAGATTGAAAGGGACCGCTAGAGATCATTTCATCCAATACCCCTGCTCAAGCAGAGCCACCTAGACCCAGTTGCCCAGGACCATGTCCAGGTGGCTTTAAATATCTCCAGGGACGGAGACTCCACAACCTCCCTGGGAAACTTGTGCCAGTGGTTGGCCACTCTCACATTAAAGAAGCATTTCCTGATATTCAAAGGAAACCTCCTGCATTTCAGTTTGTGCCTATTGCCTTTGGTCCTGCCCCTGGGCACCACTGAAAATAAGCCTGCCTCCATCCTTTTTGCACCTTCCCTTCAGGTGTTTATACATACTAGTAAGGTCCCCTCAAGGTCTCTCTTCTCCAGGCTGAACGGTCCCAGCTCTCTGAGCCTTTCCCCATAGGAGGCATGTTCTAGACCCTCAGTCATCTTCATGGCCCTTGACTGGACTCTCCCCAGTACGTTCATGTCTTTCTTGTAAGTGAGGAGCCCAGAACTGGACACAGTGCTCCAAATGTGACCTCACCAGTGCTGAATAAAGAGGAAGGATCACCTCCCTCAACCTGCTGGCAGTGTTGCTTGTACACTCTGAAGTTCAGGTGCTCGGGAGATCCCAAATTTCTCTCACGATCAGTGTGGGAGCTGGCATTTTTTAACTCAAACTTTTGAAGCATGTTTCCACTATTTTTTATTCTCTAGTGACTTTGTATTCACTGGTGTGACTCCTTGACTTTGTTATCCTTTTGAAAGGCTTGGAATAGTAATGAAGGGATGATCCAATGTCTGGGATTCCTGCAAGTGAACTGCTGGCCAGTTCTAGGAAGTTCATAGTGGGCTACTCACTTCGTATTGTCTTCATTGCCCCGTTGTCTTTGATTTCACTTTAACAAAATGCTTTCTTTTAAACATGTTTTGCCATGCTTCTTTCATTGGTTTCTATACACAACTGTTACTATGCTGTGTAAGACAATGTAACATTTTCAGTCCTGTACATCCTTGTGTCCAATTCACTTATTTTAAATAGGACATTATTAAATCTTATAATTGAATCTGAGAAGAATATGACAGCTCCAGGATATTTTGATCTGTAGTGGGGAGAAATATTTTCTGTAAATAAAAATTTTAGTTGAGGGCTTGTAAAAGGACAAATGATTTTTCCGTGTATTTCCACTTGATGAACTCTTTTAAGGAGATTTGTCTTTCAGACCAAGTGCACAGTCTGGTCTGGAGATCCGACC